TGCAAACGATATTGCGGGTGTTGTCTGTCCGAATGACAGCGAAATACTCCTTGATGTCTAAAGGAGGCGGCAAAACAAGTGACAAATAATTAGCAGTTAAAATGTCAAAGGCGCTAGCACAAGGTTGCAATAAACCGTAGCGCGTACATTTTAACGACTAATTAAGGACCAAACCAGGGGTCAATAAATAGCTATATTTTATGCAATTCTAAATTAAACACTATTAATAATTGCATTGTTTATGTAGGACAGTGTTTTGAAAATTCCATTTCCATTACCATTAAGTTCGGCAATCATGCATATAATTATAATATTGCTCTATCATAGAATGTTGGTTATTTTGTTTGATGAGACTTATATCGATTCAGTTCAGAGGAGAGTTTTTGCAATTATTCGTAGATTATATGGTACTAATTTATTTTTACCATTTTGGGTTTAAAATAGTTGGCAAATGCTATTTTATTGCCTTAAATCAATTATGGGCTTGAGCTGTTTTCTGATACGACTAATCGTATTCAGGCGTGTCGTCAATGCTTTCGCGAGATTTGTGTGTGGTTTGAAGAAACATGATCACATCTCAAATTATGTTGAAGAGTTCCTGGGAGTTTCTTTTGAGCAATTTGTATCTGTTAAGATATTGAATAATTTTTTACAAAACAATCAGAGGTGGTGCCCCTAGATTGCTGGCTAACATGTTCAGGTTTTCCAGGTCAACAAGGAGAACTCAGATATTAATACCCAGAACTTAACATTTGAAAATTCCTTTGTTGTACGTATTGCACGATTGTTGAACTATCTACCAATTGAGCTTAGAATTGTTTCCCTTTCCAATAATGCCCTTCGCTTGAAAGTATTGATCATTTCCTGAAGCCAGGTATCAATCCCAAACAATATTTAAGGTTCAGCTTTATTAAAAAAATTTTGATTGCTGGTTGTTGGTTATTATACATTTATGATTTATTTAATATTTTTTGTTCTTTGTAGTTTTGTCTGGGAAGACTTTTATAACTCATAATGGTGCTGTGTGAAAAGTATTTATAAGTTTTGTACTTGGTATAATAATACTATTAATTGGACTTGGAGAATTTTGTATTAAGAATGAAATGAATAAAGAAAGAAAGCATATTATACCAAAAGTATGGGTCTTTGAACCCGCACGACCCTATTGTGCACTACGAAACAAAGTTTTCTACTTTTTTATGTAGCCGGCCGTCGGCCTGAGTTTGGGATTTTCTCCACTAGGTCTCCTCTATGTCAAACACCGGTTGCGCGAACCAACGTTATTTTTTTTAAAGAAGTAGTGACTACACGTTCACCTCTCTCTACTTTACTATACCCCATATAGATGTCTAGGCTGAACCTCCTCTGGACAGTCTGGCTTCTTATACAGCGGTATAATGCGGACTGCAAGAAAGTTTCATCCTTGAAACACGTAGATTTATTAAGCTTTGTTGTGTTTCAGAACATGGCAATATAGTGAGTAATGAAGTGGCCGAATCATTAGAACTGGGATTGATCTACCGATTGATGAGACTTTTAAAATTTCAATAAGTTATTATTAGCAGCTGATACCTGCTTCAAAAAATCTCTTATTGAAGAAGCTAGAAGAAGATGGCACTTGGAAACCGATTGCAGAGTAACAAAGGCCATCTGGCCGGTAATTTCGAGGAGAAGAACAAACGTCCTTCTATAAGTAGGTCTGTTCTAAGGCTCGTGGTAGGCATTCTGTCTGGTCACTGCAGTGTGAGATGTCTGAAAGTTTTTCTAAAATTAACATATTTTTTAAAAGCGGCCTCTGAGTATTCCCAGCACCGTGTACGCGAAGTAAACCAAAAAAAAAAAAAAACAAATTGTTTTTGAACTGATTTTCCTATATCAGAGTATATTGCGTTTGAGGATCCCATACAACAGAACCATATTCTGAACAAGAGACATAAATAAATGTTTTGTTATGTATTGAGTAGAAAATTCTTTTTCCATCGTTTTACAAAACCTAAAACCATTTGCTTTGTTCATCAATTTTATTACATGGCTATTAAGAGATCAACAAATTATTCTACAGTTGATAAAACATGACATTTAATATTATTTTATCTGGAGAAGCACATATTTTTACATTTTTATTTAACTTAAAATCCATACAATTTAACCAATGCCATTGAAAAAGGCTATCTAAATCGATCAGAAGTAAATTACTTTGTATGTCCGAATTATGAGTAATAAACCATTACTCCATACAATTTCGAAAATTTTTTGAAATTGGTAAGTCATTGTCTTGCATTTTTTCACAAAATTACTACATTGCACTGTTTTTTTACGTTTATTTTGGCATAAACTCTAATTTTAAAGCTATTGAATTGAAATTTGTTTTGTATACATTTTTTATGCTCCCAAGATGACCTACCAATTTTCATATGATTTGGGGCACTATTTCATATAGCTGCTATATAGCCGATCTGGCCGATTTGACCCAAGCCATTTTGAATGTTTAGTTTTAAACCGCTCTAATTTACGGTTGCACTTTGGCAAATGCTTTTTTATATAATTTACAAAATCTTTAACTTGTTTTGATTTCAAACGCATTTGGTCTTCATTTAAACTGATATTATTGATATTCTGTAACACATATTTCACAAGTGCATCTTCTGAGCGATTGTTGCTGCTCCAAATTTCAATAAGCGCTGCATGGGCAAACACATGTTTATCTGCAAAACACGTGTTGACACAAAATAGAACAAAAAAGGCTAGTTACTCATTAATTAACACACTTTCTTTAATAACCTTGCATTTATACCTTTTTGCAATGCTTTGCCATTCACAACACTCCACGGAACACAACTACAATTTATAGATTTTATATAAAGTTATACATAAACAAAACATTTTACAGTATTACAACAACAGACAATTATGAGAAAAAGGGCACCTCGTCTTAATTTTACATACCTGCACTAACGTTTTCCATAATTACACATTTTATTTTTTTTTTAATTTTGTTAAATCGCCAGTTGTAGCAAAACAAAGTGACTTTCAAACAGCTGGCTTCAAAAGCTCGTCAGCAAAAAAAGGTTGTCACCTGCATTGATATTAAATATTTTTTTTTTTCTAATATGGGTATCTACATTTGGAAAATCAGTTAAATTTCAAAATATGAAACCAAAAAAAAGCCTTTATGCCAAAACATCATACTTTTTACCCACAGTGCATTGGTGAAAATCTATAAAACATGAATGAAATATTGGGGTTTCCCACAAAATTGAATTCAAGATAGAGTGACACAATTATACCTTTTATTACCAATTGACGTTAAAAATTTGCATGTCATGGTTAAATCCATGGCTAAATAAGAAAAGAGTCAGAAATGGAAACCTACAGAAAATGCCATGGAGTTAAACATCATGCCAAAAGTCCCAGTTTGCAAAACACTTATTCGGGGTCAAAGGTCTTAATTTTTAGTTTTTTTCGGAATCTTTTCGAAAACGTTAAGTTTTATAAAATGTTGTTCCATCAAGAGTTAAAATTAAACTATAAAATTACACTAAACGTAATATGCATACATTTTCCCGCCACCTGAGACATACTCCAACTATTGTTTTGACAATGTTAACATCATTTAAGAAGGCATTAATTTATTGTTGGTAATCCCATATATTTCAATCAGATTCATATTCTGAATGTCTACTTCAACAGTCGGGTCTTATTTGATTTCATTTTTTCCCTTCTGATGGTAGTTCATGACTGATTCATTGAGCTCCTCATTAAGATCACATTCTATTGTCCTAAATTGGACATTTGAACATGACTGTCCTTGTCAAATTAAACAAAGTAACATGGCACAGTTGAGGAAGTTAGAACCCGTTAGTTAACTACCCGCTAAATACAACTTTTTTCTTGTGATGCTCCCTATCTGCCAAAACATGTTCATATTTTGTGTATGTGTGTGCATTGTTTTAAATAAAAAATACAATAATTTAAAATGATTTCAAATTCAGTTGCAAAATAAATATATATTTTGACGTTAATGGGTAACAGATTGTACAACTTTGAGATAAACTATCTTAGATTTAATTTTATGGAATAACCCCAACATACCATTCATGTTTTGCCTTTTTTTCAATATAAGAATTAAAAAAAAAAAATAAAATAAACTAATCCAATTGTTGCATATTTACAAGTATATTTGACAATATAAGACTCCTGTACAGAGTTTCATTTTTCCTTGTTTTTAGAATATGAATAACCTTTCTGTTAAAATTGCAGAAAATAGTATAGGTGATGATTTTCTGAACAGTTGGCTTGGCCCGAATAACTTTTTTGCACACGTGGTATTTATTATAGGGACTTTTGCCACATTGTTTGTAATGATAAACTCCAGATCCATACCAAAATTCGGCATTGTGTGAATTTTGCAAATTCAAATGCTTATTTCGACTTGACTACTATTGATTATCCTTTAAATAATATGGGTGACGCATTTTGTTTTTAATGAAAATTGTGATTTTAAATTCCAATTAAGTCAATCGCATTTGTGCAACAACTACTCAGTTTATTGTCAAATTGTTTTTTCAGAAGTGGTCTTCTTGTCCAACATTTTGGTCCTCTTGTCGTACATTTCAAAAAATGAAATTTTCATTTTTAATTTTGAATGTTGCCAATGGAAATTTATGTGAAAAAAGTATACCATATGTTGTCATGGTGAAAACAAATTTCTTACATTTAGTAAAACTTTCCATTTTGAAATAGATTCAAAATGTTTTGTTGGTGAGTGTACCATGACTCCAAATATGGAGGGTTCTCAGCGAAAACAGAAGCAACACATTTATTTTAATAAATCACAATATTTAAATAATCAATGCATATGTGGTAAAAAATCGGAAATAGACATGAACTCTTTACATATAAAGTAGCTTTTTTTAGCACTGATTTATTAGGTACCATTACAGTCATATCAAGTTTTAAAAAATTGAAAAAACCAATTGCATTTTTAATATTTCTTCCAGGTCTGTGCAGCAATCGACCCAACTCCAGAAATTCATTAAATAGCAGACTTTCAAGTTCACATAATTCATTGAGTGTTTCATCTGCTAACAAACCGGATGATTCAATATTTATAACACAAGCGATGTCACATGACGCTTTACTTACAAGAGAAATATCTGATTTCTATAATGTTCCAATTGACTCTGACATATACGCTTTACCAGTAGATATGATTAATTCAGAGAAAGAAAGATCACAAAACGTTCATAGACACAGTGCCCACAGCTCCGCCGAAGCAAATGGATCGGAATGCAAAGATGTCATCATATCCAGCAGTTGTAGTAAACACACTTTCATGAAATGTCAACACCAAACAAAGGCAAACCGCAAACACAAAAATAAGCGCAAAAAAAAGTCTACTTTGAATTGTCCCGAGAATGGCGAAAGTAGTGATCATGCCCCGAGTCATGTCTCCACTAGTATTTCTTCAAGGTATAATTCTACTTTTGTATCTACTTCGAGCATACACGATGATACCAGTGTCAACAATGGAGAACCTTTGCATATGTCACTGGAAGAGGTGAAACAATTCTATCATACACTCTACTCGGAAACCAAAGATAATAAGGTGGACGGCGCAGCTGCTTCCATTGGACCTCAATCACACTCCAAAACACTTATTATATCGAGCTCGAATTCCAAAGTATCCAATGACACCGCTTGGAGTGGGTCTCGTGGCAGCAACCTTACATTGTCTCAAAGTCGTATAGAAAAAGTACATGGTTCAAACACTAAATGCAGTGTATTAACACAAAAAACCTTCTCTTCTGATTCTGAGACTCACACAAATAACAACAATAACAATATGATTGCAATCAATAACCAAAACAACCAGAAACAGAATATGTCTCATAATTTTAACATAATCACCTCCACTGAAAAGGAACACCCTACAGAAATGACACAATCAATTCTCAAGACTAACGTAATATCTTCCAACGAAAAGAAATCTCAATTTACCTTGAATTTGAAGCAGCGATTTTGCAGCATTTTCCGCTTTCGAAAAAACAATAGTAGATGTAGCCAAAAAAGTGACTCCAACGATCATGACGATCATACTACAAGCAATGAAAAATCAACTGCAACGAAGTCAAATGAAGACAAGCGTAAGAAGTTTCAGTCAAGAGCTCTCCCGCCCTTACCTAAGAAAGGTAATGAGGGAAATACACATAAACATAATGAAATATGCACACCATTGATTTTGTTTTTTAATTAGAATCAGGAGAGGAAAACAGTAACAAACATGAAGAAATCGCTAATGGAAAGGAAGAGAAGAAACCGGAACCTAGATCTTTTCATTTCACATCCAGTATTGAAAAAGTCAAAGATGTAAGTCAAAATCTGTGTAAAGTGATTGAAGAGGGAAGTGTAAAAGTGCAGTTTTTATTTGGCAAGAACTGAATTCGTTTGTAACCAACAGATAGTCTATTTTGAAACCACAATCTATTTACATTTGCGTTTAAAATAGTAGATGTTTCGGCTTCTAACATTTCCGCAATTGGCATTAGGGACGATAAATTTTCAAGTAAAAATTTCTCAGTAAAATTTACTGAAATAATTTTTTTCTCTCTTTTGCCTTCAAATATTGCAAAAAGTTATCGAAAAACCTTTAGTAAAATCTATCAAGAAAACAGCTGTTTCGAACAATGCATAGTTTAGAAAATTAAATCAAAATTCCATTTTTTGTAGTGAAAAATAGGTTATTCAATTGTATAATACAATGTTAAATTCTTATTATGTGTGTTTAGCTCAGAGGGGCTCCGCCGATGGGAGTAAAACGCCGAATGCGTCGAGCAGTGGACCGTAGGGTATATGCAAAAAGATAAATAAAAACACAAGGGTTTTTCTTAGTATAAAATAAAACTGTTTATTCTCAGTTTGGTTGGTGGTAACGATATTACCTTTGGCAACAATATGCCTTTCTACAAACAACGATATGTGCTTTGCAAACGATATTGCGGGTGTTGTCTGTCCGAATGACAGCGAACTACTACTCGATGTCTAAAGGAGGCGGCAAAACAAGTGACAACTAATTACTCGTTAAAATGTAAAAGGCGCTACCACAAGGTTGCAATAAACCGTAGCGCGTACATTTTAACGAATAGTTAAGGACCAAGCTAGGGGTCAATAAAAAGCTATATTTAATGTAATTCTAAATTAAACAATATGAAAAATAATTAAATACGTAAATTATTGCCTGAAATTTGTAAGCAGTTTTGTATCGGACACAATGATCTCTCTATGTAACTCAACTGTCAAAATTGTTCTCTTTACTCCCTCTCATTTACAGGAGTTTTGGCCTATTTATTGCCTATAACACGATTTTTGGAGTAGTCTGAGATAGATAATTTTGCATACAGAATAATGGAATACATAGTTCAGAATCGTTTCAAATGAGTACGAAAAGCGATTGTTGATAAGAAAGCTAATTTCTAAAGTGACATCGTATAAAAAGTTTCAAAACCAAAGAGGAATATTGGAATTATTGTAACGCATTAAGAAGAACACTTCTTTGCTACTGCTACAGACTTTGTATAGAAGCATGCGTAGAAAGTATCCGAAGACTTCTTCGAGATCCAAGTTTGCCATTGATTTTCAAAATCGATGAGTGAAAGAAACGTACAATTCGGGGTGATCTTTAACCATTAATCATTTCTGCCATGGAATTGAAAGATTTAGCATTTTGGATAAAAGTTTTGAATTTAACTCATTTTAAAAATGAAGAAAAATATGAACAAAAAAATGAAAACAACATAATAACATATTTCGACAGCAAAATTGATTGTTGGCTTTTGTGTTACGTAGGTTTCCCAACAATTGCAAACCAGTAGAATTCAGGCTTAAGTCTTACCTTACTATCTAAAGTTTTTTCTACAATATCCATCAACAAAGAAGACAACTCGATTTTCTCGATAATACGAAGGTGGTTCGGAAACTTCTTAGCCTATCAATGGAAGAGAATAGTTAGTTGTTTCAAAAATATTTTTATTTTCAATATAATCTCCTGAAACTTCAATACACTTAGTCCAACGCTTTTCTAGCAATACTATCCCTTGATTAATAAAATAGTTTTCCAAACGATCCGAACAAGCTTGAGAAATGTTCATTCTTAAGCGTTTTTGATCGAATGTTAACAAATGCAGCACACATCTTGCAGAAAGCTTTTCATCTGTAGTTCTTTATTCAAAATTAAATGGACTCGAACATTTGAGATACACATGATTTATTCACCGATCATTTAAAATCAATGCAACAAGTTGTTTGGTTTTTGATTGTTTTGATAGTGATTCTGACACGGCTGAAAAATAAGTTCAGGCTATTGAAAATATCTAACACCGATGTTCGCCGCCTATCCATTACCATTTTTGCCCTGTTCTGTCTATAAATCGTTGCGTTACCAATAATACAATTAGAAATACAATTTCGTATTTATCTATTTATTATTAATCATAATTTTTAATTTTCATCATTAAGAATTTTACATTTCACTTGTTGTATTGTTACGTCATTTTACAATAATATTTATTTACTGAATTTGTACTTAATTTCATATTTCGAAATGTGTTTATTGCTTCACAATTACAGAACACTCAAATTCTACCTAACCGTCATAGTAACACACTGTATTTAAGTTTACGTAGAGAGATTTGGCTGGATCTGCACCAAGCTCAGACAACTGCTTGCTTTGTGTAAAAATGTATCCTTCGCAACCCAAAGTTCACCAGTTCCCTCGTCTTCATAGGAAAGCCTCTCAAGTTTTCCGTCCATTTCTATCTGCTTATAAAAATAACGTTTGTTTATTGAGGATGTAGGCAGGGAATACTTAGGTTTCGGAACCCTCATTAGTTCCCTTGTTTTGTCTGGGATATTCTCTCCGGGAATTATTTTAAAAATAAAAAATAGAACAGTGTGGCTTGTTTGTTCGGGATACCGTAGTATTTTGTTGTTGCAAAATGGCCAGGCTTATCCCTTTATTAAAAAAATAACTTCTATGACAAAAAACATTTTTTACCCAAGTGACGAGATCGTAAGCTCAATAGAAGAGGAACCAAAGAATTAAATAAAACTAAAATTATTTTGGAAAGTCTTCTAAATCTTACAACCGCACTTATAAACATTTTCATCTTTCTCCACTTGTTATGCTTTCGTTCAACCTGAACGAAGTAGCATAACCATGTAAGTTGGTTTTGTCTGTTACAACAAAAACCCCTCCGTCGACCGTGCCTTGTCTATAAATAGAACAGTGTGGCTTGTTTGTTCGGGATACCGTAGTATTTTGTTGTTGCAAAATGGTCAGGCTTATCCCTTTATTGTTGTTTTTATAAAAAAAACTTTTGTTTATGAGTGGAGAACGATGGTAATGTTTACCAGGGGGTAAAGGCAGGGAATACCTAGGTTTCGGAAAGAGCCACCAATCCTCATCAGTTCCCTTGTTTTTTGTCTGGGATATTCTCCCCAGAAGTTATTTTAAAAATAACTTCTATGACAAAAAACATTTTTTTACCCAAGTGACGAGATCGTAAGCTCAATAGAAGAGGAACCAAAGAATTAAATAAAACTAAAATTCTTTTGGAAAGTCTTCTAAATCTTACAACCGCACTTATAAACATTTTCATCTTTCTCCACTTGTTATGCTTTCGTTCAACCTGAACGAAGTAGCATAACCATGTAAGTTGGTTTTGTCTGTTACAACAAAAACCCCTCCGTCGACCGTGCCTTGTCCATAAATAGAACAGTGTGGCTAAAAACAACAATAAAGGGATAAGCCTGACCATTTTGCAACAACAAAATACTACGGTATCCCGAACAAACAAGCCACACTGTTCTATTTATAGACAAGGCACGGTCGACGGAGGGGTTTTTGTTGTAACAGACAAAACCAACTTACATGGTTATGCTACTTCGTTCAGGTTGAACGAAAGCATAACAAGTGGAGAAAGATGAAAATGTTTATAAGTGCGTTTGTAAGATTTAGAAGACTTTCCAAAAGAAATTTAGTTTTATTTAATTCTTTGGTTCCTCTTCTATTGAGCTTACGATCTCGTCACTTGGGTAAAAAATGTTTTTTTGTCATAGAAGTTATTTTCAAAATAACTTCTGGGGAGAATATCCCAGACAAAAAACAAGGGAACTGATGAGGATTGGTGGCTCTTTCCGAAACCTAGGTATTCCCTGCCTTTACCCCCTGGTAAACATTACCATCGTTCTCCACTCATAAACAAAAGTTGTTTTTATAAAAACAACAATAAAGGGATAAGCCTGACCATTTTGCAACAACAAAAAATAAAAAATAATATAAGCAAAAAATATTGTACATATATATTGAGTTATTTAGACCAAAAGAATAGCACAATGGTCTTAAGTATCGTTAATTTAATGGGTACGTAAAAGCATTAACTCACTTAAACTTCGTTAAACAAGAAGAAACTTTAAACTAGAATAAAAGAGATTCGTAACGCCTTTGAGTGAAAGCGTTAATAGATTGCTGTTGCAAAAACTACTGTTACCGCCTAACATAACATGCGAAGTAACATAACATTGTAATTTAGTATAATATAGACGTTGAATTATGTTTTATAATATACTTCTAGTAACTATATAAACGGCCTGCTATACGGAAGATATTGATGTCGCCTGTTTGCGTATCCGATGTAATGCAATTTATTTTTTTTTAACTCCCGTTGTTGTTGTAAAAGGGTTCGCAGACCACACTAGAGCCGCAACCTAACCACAGACCACCCTATCGATTAAAAAGAGGTCAACAAGTACTATCCGCGCTCCAAGTACTGCCGGTTAGCGCCTTGATGAACTTGTTCCTATTTTTCATGTCTTCTATTAATGGATATGGCTGTAATGCTGTTGTCGTGCTGTGTTGCTAACCTAAATCATGTTAATGATTAGCAACTGGGTAGCTTTTGATCCATCACAGTTACGTAATTGAACTTGATTGTAGTCCTATCAACCACTTTCCCAGAGTGATTAAAGAGAAGAGCATTCGACAGTGGCATGATTCCCACCAAAGGTGTTAGGTCAGGTTTCGCCATAGAAATGAACAGCCTTGTTCTGGTTGTCTCGAGCCTGTTTAAACTTTTGCACTTCAAAACTTTATTAGATTTGCAGGTAAATGAATTAAGTGCTTTCAGGGCTGCTTGACTATCAACGTATATAGTACCGGGCCGTTATGTTCACTGGTTCTCTTATCCAACAAATTTATGTTTTTTTATAGCAAAGATTTCTGCCTAGAATACGCTGCAGTTGTTGTTAGGATTAAAGGAGCTTTTAATATGTAGGCTACCGTTCCATTTTCTGTCTTTCAACTAGAGATGGATTGTTTTACGACTTGTCCTGTGTAGGGTTCGAGTCGCACCGTACAACTGGTGGCTATCTGTCCTCTACAAATAGACCTAAAGGGTTTACGTGAAATAGGATATGCAATGCTGAGGTGAGCTTCAAAATGCACCTGTAATCACTAACGGTGAACTTTGAGCGCCGTCAAATTAGAACTCCATAAGCGAGAATCGGACGGACAATTAAAAAAAAAAAAAATAAATAAATAAATAAATAAATAAATAAATAAATATATATATATATATATATATATATATATATATATATATATATATATATATATATATATATATATATATATCTCCATCCTATTCTCGCTTACAGAGTTCTAATTGAAATGTGGTTTACGCCCCCAACTTTCTCCTTTGGAGTTATAGCGGAATAAAGTGCAATTGGGACTCTTTCCGCGTGCGTGATGGCCAAAAATAGTCTGACTTCATCTAGTATTGTTGGCGAAAACTGTTTAAGAAGGATCAACTCATAGGCAGTTACTATGTGTACACCTAAATTTTGGAATGCTTACCGTTCTGTGAATCAGACCTACATCCTCGACTGAATATTTGCGATGTTGATGATTGAAGTGTTGATGGTTTACCGCACCTGGCTAACAGATTTAGTTGATGTGTTGGCAAGGAAGTCTTAAAACTTTTCGTTGTCACAACAGATGACCTTAAATTCTTTATACAGAATGGTGCTGCCAAACTGCATCCTCCGAGGATCCACGTTCATTCATTTTGTTCCAAAGAAAAGTGCGTTTTTAGGAGGGAGGGTTGAAGAAAATTCGGGATTGACTTCATTCAACTAATTCTGTTGAGCTTAAATAGAAAATGTCAATATTTCCCCACATGTTCTTTGGAGTCTATCATATATATTTTTATATTTTTAGTATGGATGGTATTGGGGCCCTTTATCAAGCGAAGCAGCTGAAAAGGTTTTATCTAACGAACCTGATGGAAGTTTTATTGTGCGTGATAGTTCTGACGATCATTATATTTTTTCACTTAGTTTCAAACTGAACAACTGTGTCCGTCATGTCAGAATCGAGCAAGATCAAGGTATGTTAATCATATAAATGGCGTTTTACATTAATTTTAATATTTTTTCTGTGGGAATGTCAGGAACGTTTTCATTTGGATCGTATGCTAAATTTAAATCTCAAACCATCACAGAATTTATTGAGAAGGCCGTAGAACATTCACGTAGCGGCAGGTAATATTACATATTTTTTATAAAAATATTTGTTTGTGCACTGTTTGAATTCTTTACAGATATCTGTTCTTTTTACATCGAAGGCCCGAACATGGACCCATGAGAGTGCAGTTGACAAATCCAGTATCTAGATTTAAACACGTTCAAAGTTTACAGCATATGTGCAGGTATATATAACATTGTTTATTACATGTAAATGACTTAGCTACATATTATTTCAAACCTTTTTGAGAAATATTTAACTGTTGATAGTGAGCTGTTATTTAGCATAAGCTCTTTAAATTTCATTTTATTTTAAATTTGGCTATTCTAATGTAATAATATAATACGAACCTAGTTAATTTGAATTAAATTAATTGGAAATTTATCTGTGGTTTGAAATTTCCCATTTGCAACTCAAATTATTATTTGTTCAAATTTTATTTTTAGCTTTAATGTTTCTGTTTCAATTTCGATTTTCCTCATTAGAATATCAAAATATTAATTCGAATTGCAAATTAACTTTTCTTAAATGACAACCAAATATAACATGAATTATGAATGAAAGAAATCAACTTATTGTCAAGTTTTTGGCTATAAACATAGGATAAAAGGAAACTAATCAATGTATTTGCCTTTTCCAGATTTGTTATATTAAAAGCTGTAATAAGAAAGGATCTGATTCAAACATTGCCATTACCAAGAAGACTTTTAGACTACCTGAATTACAAACACTGTTATTCAGAACAAATTGAAAGTGACAGTTCCAATTCACAGGTATGTTGTCCACTATAAACTTTGAAGAAGGTGCACAATTGCTTTTCTGAAAATAGGGTCACAATCAAAAAATTATTGATAGCATCGCATTTAATGTAATTTCCGTTTCTTTTTTATTTTAAAAGTTCTATTTTTTTGAAAGTTTGTCGTTAAAATTATACTTGTCACTTTTAAATAAGAAATCAAATTTCAACGAAATATTGTTTTGAATTTCCATTAGCACGATAGAGTTCGTAAATATGGAGAATAAATGGACCAAAAATGTCGGTCTCAATGATAAAAGAAAACAATAATCAAAATTCTGTCTTAATTATCCAGTGATTTACAATTATAAGTTGTTTGGTTTTTTGATAGTAATTCTGACATTATAAGCCAAACAGTTAAACCTCTATACTTCAAATTTTTTTTCATTGTACCATGATGACAAGTACGTACCATGTTCGAGCATAAATCTTCTGTAATTCAAACATACAATTTTGATTTTTACTTTCATTTTATAAGATAAAGCATTAGAACTGGTGGCTTACATGTGGCGATGTAATCGAGTAAGCATGGCCTGAAGTTTCTTCAGTATGACTGAATTACAAAACGTATCAGGTTAGGTTAAAGGATGCGCGGTTGTGAAAAACAACCACTCCACTCGGAGACCTTTTGGTCCATTGTGTTCATCCTAATTAAGAAAATAGGAGAATATAATAAAGAGAAGAAAAGGAAATGAATGGCCATTTTAGTCTTCTGGCTAACTGAAGAATGACTGCTGGCTTGATGTCAGAAAGGGGGGAGAAGTCCGGCAGAATTTGCTTACCCAGTAGCCTCTGTCTCACTCCTATAAGAGTTGGGCAGTGGCAGAGTAAGTGCTCCGCCGTCCCAGTTTTCTTCTTGTCCTGACAAAGCCTGCAGTATTCAGTATCGTCACCCCATTTGGATGTCATGGCCTTTATTTGCACTGTCCTGTAATTAGGCCCACCACAAGCTTTAAGTCCAGCTTCGTCATGGATATGAGTGACCTTGATCTCCTTTCGGAGTTCATCGGCCAAATCTTTTTGGAGACATTACATCCCCTTCCATTTAGCCAGTTCTGTTGAAACCTCCCAAGATGGTTTTTATGCAGCACTTGGAAGAAGTGGCATAAGGGTGCCTTCACTGAACTCTCAATCTCTAGATTAACTGACTCAGATCCACGTCTGGCCAATACATCGGCCGATTCATTGCCAGATATGTTGCAGTGTCCAGGGACCCAACAGAGTCTGACAAACGACTTAAGCTTTAGCAGAGCATTCCAGAACTGTCATAGATTTGATTGCAAATGAATTTAGAGCCTTGAGGGCCGCTTGACTATCGACATATATAGTCACCGGTCCGTCCAGTTCATTGATTCTATTTGCCAGCAGCTCTATGGCCTTCCTGACAGCAAAGATTTCTGCCTGAAAACGCTACAGTCGTTGTTTAGTTTGAAGGATCTTTGGATTCTTAGATTTTCACAGTAGATTCCAGCTCCCGTTCCACTTTCTATCTTTGACCCATCAGCATAGACAGCTATACCGTTAAAAGGTGGAGTGTCGCAGGTCCAGATGTCTCTGTTAGGTATATGGATATAAAGTAGTTCAAAGCTGTGCTTAGGTGATGTATAATCGCAAGCTATAGCCTGATTTCCTATGTTCACCTCATACTTGAAAATGACGGAGTGTCCAAAGGCTGACTCCGCCATTCTCCCAGTTCATTGAGTCGCAGGTCACAATTAGCAGCTTGTTCCTCTACAACGGTTTTAAGTTTAGTAGGGTGTCTAGTGAGGATTGGTGTGTACTCATAAACGCGCCTGTAATTAGTAGCTATGCAACTCTTTGGACTTTATCAATGCTTTAACTGAAGGTAGTTTTCCCTAAGGAGTGCCACCAAACAAGCCCTCCATAGGTGAGAATTGTTCTGACGACTGACTCATACAACTAATTAACTATGTGAGTCTTGAGTCCCCAGCTTTTTCCTATGGAAGTTTAGCAGGAATAAAGTGCAATTAAGCCCCTCTTCGCTCGCTCCTCGCTGCTCCTCTTCCAGCTTAGTTTCTGGTCTAGGACGGTTCCGAGATATTTGGCTTCCGAAGAAAGGCTTAGCATAACACCATCCAGTATTGGTAGCGAAAAGTGTGGGATTTTCCGCTTCCTTGTGAAGAGTACGAGCTCATGCTCGAGTTGACGATTCTGCTGCTGAGCATAATATCAATTCAATCAACAAGAGGGAGGGAACTATGAATTGCCTCGAGTGTCACATTATTGAAGGCTCCCTCGATGTCGAGAAAGGCTGCCAAGGTGAAGCACGAATTGTTCAGGTTCCTCTCTATTTAACCCACGACGTCGTGTTGCGCTGATTCAACAGATTTGCCTTTAATATAGGCATGTTGAGCTGCGCTCAACGAGGTCAAGGGTGTCAGAAAACTAATCTCAATGTCTATTAGTCTCTAAAGCGTTTTCAATAGAAAAGACGAGAGACTGATGGACCTGTAGTCTTTTGGAAGTACATGACTTGGTTTCCTAGCCCTGGGGATATAAGTGACTGTACTTCCCTCCACAGTGATGGAATGTGAGAGAGACGCAGATAAGCCTTAAATATGACATCCAGGAAAGATATTATTACCGTCGATGCATGCTGTAGCATGGCGGGAATAATGCCATCCGGTTCCGGCGATGAGTTTATAACTGAATGAGTTTATAACTCACAAAATCTTGGGAGTGCTTACAATCCGATCTACCAATCGGGCATTTTCCGCATCGGAGCAGTTTGGAAAGTGAGTATTTGCTAACAGATTGAGTGCTTCTAGACCAGAGTCAGTCCAGCTTCCGTCATTCCGCTTTATGCATCCAATGGATTTGGGGTCCTTTGAAAGTACTCAACGGAATCTGGAGGCTGTGTCTACATCTTCTATGAACTCAGCAACGCAAACCCAAGACAGTCTTTTGGCCTTTTCGAATTGTCTGCCGAATTGTAGGCTTCTTGGATCTTCCCTTAGGAAAACCAATTCCCTCAGACGGTCCTCAATGAGAAGCCACCGACTTTCACTGATTTTGCCTTCCGGCTCAGCTCGGTCGATGATCGCTACACGAATATGTTTCCTTTTCCTACTCCCTTCGCTTAAACCTATTGTAATAGTGTTCTGAACAATATTCAATTAAATTGAAGCAAAATATTGCAATAGTTCATTAGTGTGCTGATTTCGACAATACATGGGGTAGTGTAGAAGATCAAGAATATGAAAATGCACATACAAGTTGTTTTCGACGAACGGCCACCTTTTTTTTCAAATCTAATACGTAAACGTGAAAAAAAAAAAATCAACAGTATTCCAGTGATAATGATGAATTCCAAAAGGACTCACAAGATGAGAATAGTGCAGCAACAATTTTAGATCATTATGAAAACATGTTCGTGAGACAGGTACAGATGTTTATTTTCCATTTTTTGAACTCATGTGGGGTAGGTAACAAAAGAAGTCGAAATATATTGACACCAAACCCGATTAAAGTGCCAAATCAGATATTCTCTCCAGAGTTTTCATCGATTAATCGCCTCTGCAATTGCAATGGGTCCACATGTAAAGCCACTTCAAATTAATGCATTGTTGTAAACTTTTAGCAATAGTTCCAAACTTTAAGTTAAAAATGTTTTTTTTTTTTTTGTTTTACAATTTGAAACTAATTGCTATGTTTCTATAACAACAACTGATGTATACAACTTATAAATACACCCATGAATACACCTAGCTGAAATTTGTATAAAGTATATAAGGTTTGTTTGTTGTGAACAAATTCTTTTAATTAGTCCACCAAATGGACTCAAGATAGATTTAACTTTATGGGAAATTACATCAGTAGTTAATTTTTTAAATAACTTTGGAATGATACTCAACTTTGCGATTCCTCTATAATTAGAAGCATGATGCCAGATTTATGTAGAGGCACCAAATACGATTTTTCTAATCAGAAGGGAAATTACTAAATTTAAGTGAATAATAGTACAAAAGTGTTAAAGGGACTGACAAAGTATTTAAACAGAATTTTAATTTTATACTGGGAATGTCATCCGGACCCGGATTTTTTACTGCTTTTAAACTACGCAAACCTTTTGAATTTTTTTTTTGAATCCGAAAATATGGTATAGTTACTTCAGGAATTTCTGGTATTTATATGGATAGGAAAATTTTTGCGGAAAATTGTCATAAGAATATACAGAAGCAAAAAAAAACTTAGCAAAACATTCAACGAAATTTAAATTAAAATAAAATATCACCCAGATTTCTTATATTTTCCAAAAAGTTTGTTCTTAAAATGTTCAATTTTAGTTTATAGGAACTTATTTTTTTTTTATTTTAGCAACACATTCTTCCAAAAATTTGTATAAAGTTTTATAAAAATTATTTACTGCCAATTCATGTTCATCTTCATTACGACACCATAATCTATAGAAGTAATTAGTGAATTATTCAATGAAAATTAAATCATTTATATCAATAACTTAATTCGCTGGTTGCGTTTAGCTTTTCGGAGTTATGGGCGATTATTATCTTCGGGTGTTGAGATAAAAATTATAAAATACTGTGTGATATAAACAAATGCTAAGTTAAGAATTTTTCCATAAGTAGTTTCTACACTATTTATTTTATGAAGGTCTAAATCGCAAAAGCAAAAGAATTCCCAGATGGGGTTAAAGGAGTCATCGATTCTGAATCTGGCGATGAGAGCCTCTTAATGGATGGCAAGTTAAAATCGCCGAGAACCAAAATATAATCAATAACATCCATTTTCTGAACTATTGATGATACTGCTGAAATATGACTGAAAAATTCAATATCATCAAAATCCTTTAGTCGAAATCTATTGGATAGATATGTTACATCCCCACCTTGTTTATTTATACGATCTTTTCAATATATTTTATATTTTGGACATAAAACTTCGGTATTCAATATGGATGGTTTTAACCATGTTGTAATCAATTTAGGAACTGGTAAG